GGAATGCAGTTGTTTTTGCTTTGGTGCCATGCCGCCCATGAAACGCTTCTTATCCCAATGTTGACGGATCAACTGTTCACGCTCCAACAAGTTTCTGGTGAACTCCTCTATTGCTTCCCAGCGCAATGAAACCAAACTGTAGCTCCACTTGTCAAACTCCTTTGCACATGGATGGTCCACCCCCAAACAGCTGTATATGAAAAGTTCGCGCATTGTGCGAGTTCGCAAAAGCCGTTCCAAAGCATGCAAGCCTTCGGAAACAAAGGGCCACCTGGGCAACGAGGGTTGTGAGTTTGGGGTTGTAAGTTTGGGCCTGAAAAAGAAACATGATGGAAGAAAGTTTTTGCAAGACACATAAGTTCTTGCAAGACACATGGAAGGCATACAATCCAAACATTCTCCCAGCAAGTTGTCAACTATGTGCTTCATGTCAGGCGTAGGCCTGGAATTGGGATACAATCTGGAAACACGAGTACGGTGACAGTCAGCTGGTGACACACTCTCAATCTCTTCACTTGCTGGCGGGTCTGACTCCACCACCACAGTAGCAGCAGCAGCTGCCGTGTCATCCTCCAGTTCTAGGGTAGTGGAGGATGAAGTTCTGGCTGTTGTTTGTAAGGTCATCGCAGTATCATTGAGTAAAGCTGCGGTGTCTATATCTGGTGCGTTTCCCAATTCCAGCTCGACCCCTGTGGGACAAGAGCCAAGTTCAAGTTTGCGTGGAAAAAAACAACAGGTTATTTGGAATTGCAAATTGCAAACATACAACACTTCCCCACCCTGGTCAGAAACATTGTTGATAACCATCTCATTGTACGCAGCCAAGTCTTGAAGAGGTTGATCACTGCAACCAACTTCCAGTAATAGAACAAAAAGAAGTGCATCCAATTTATTGCAGAACGCCGCTGAACCTGTGCATGGAAGTAGCATCAAACCATACAAAACCTGTGTCACGCCAAAAAAACATCATCACCATAGCCACCACCACCGGAACTACAACTGCAATCATGACCCCACCTTTTCCTAGAGATACAACTGGCATGGTCCTGCACTCCACTCTCAGAATATCTCGTTGAAGCTGGAAGTGGTCTTCCTCCAGCTCACCATTTGATAGAGCTTTGCAAAAGTCCCCTTCAGCAAGGTCATGGAAAAGGCGTTTCTCTGCATCACACGCCCTTAGTTTGTAGCTATAATTAGGTCGTTGCAAATGGCATGGGCAAGGAATCATCTGCGGATGTGTTTTTTTGGTGTAGTCAAGTCAAGTTACAAACACGTGAATTCCTGAATTAAGAGCAGGTCTTTGTTCTTCTCACTGGCATCATATCCTCGTGCCAAGATGCAAACGTGAACTTGTTTGTTCCTATCCAAACAGGAAGACAGAAAACACACAACTTTCTGGACCCAGTGCATGCAGTCCACCCAAAGAGATCCAGTGATTACCCCATCCACTTGATTGCCAAAAGTTGCGTCTTGATTGCATCAAGACTGCGTCCAAGATGTACCTACTTCTGGCGAGCGTGGCGCCTGAAGGCCCCGAAGGACCAATACCATTGACTTCCTCGAGGTGTGACAAAGAAGTGCTTGACTCTTTTTCACCAAGGCATGCAAGTGATGCAACAAAGGGACCGTTGTAATTGTGGTGGACCCATTTGCAAGCTGTGTGGCAGCGTTCAAAGCCGAGCGGAAGTCATCTGCATTTCTTAAATGCACACCCCTTGGAACGATAACCCTTCCAAATGGACTCAACGACAAACCTTCCAAATGGGTTCTATGGAATATAGAAAACCACACATAACATAACATATGTCAACATTTCAATTTCAACATGTGTATATTATATATGTACATATATATAATATGTAACCTTTGAGACAAGCAACAAAAGCATGAAACGGACCAGCTGTCCGACATTGTACACTGGCCTGCCCACTCCACGACGCGTTTTGGGCAGCAACGCCAAAACCGCATTCTGCGCGCAATCGTTTGCCACCTGACGGAGAAACAAGATGACCACGGCCACATTTTACGTTGAGTGCAAACAAGTTCAAACAAGTTAAGCAAAAACCTTTGAGTGACTTGAGTGCTTGAACAATTGTTTGCTTCACATGCACTGCGCACCCTCAACAACAATTTGTTGCCCAACGCAACCCAGCCTCCGAAATCTCACTGATGATGCACATAGCTTTCCGCAGGCTTGCAATCTCAGGGGCAGTGAACAATTTAGGGCAGGAGCGGCAAAGATGCACGCATAGCATTGCTCAAAGCGTAGCATTAATTTTCATAAGCCTTCAACACCTTGTGGTCAATTGAAAAAACAGAGCAGCCCTGTTCACATGGAATGCCTGCCTGGTCTTCTGACCCAAATCTCAACACAGGTTGCGCTGCGTGTAGTAGTAGCTCATAGGCAGCAGAAGCCTTTGCACCCGCCCATTGGAGCTTTTCCATGGCCGCTTGCCTACTTCAAAGATTAAAGCACGTTATATTCCTACTGTACCACAAAGTCCGCCTCACATATCGTAGATATATGTTTGGATATGTAAGGTTATATGTGTGGATATGTAAGGTTATATGTGATGGTAAATGGGTTAAGTGTCCATAAGTATTCGGCCAGACTTACGCTAGATACAGTGTATATACAAAAATTATAAGTCATTTATAAGTCAGTTATAAGTCGGAATAGTACGGAAGCGAAAACCTACTTATTCTACTTAGGGGCGCACTTAGCCTACTTACAAAAACCTAATTTTTCAAAGTTTTTTTTCATGGTTTTCTTAAAAATGTCATGAAAAAGTTGATTTTTTTAAGGTTTTTGTGTGTGGATGTGATTAAAACGCTGGAATCAGCAGTCTACAGCGTAATGTCAACCTTACAGCCCCTTGATATGAAATTGCTGAGGGTTAGTTGAGTGGGCAAAGTTTCATAAGATATTCCATTCTGTAGTTTGTTTTTTGTGGGCTGTTGCAAACATAAAAGAAATTCTATAGACGTGAACATCATTACGCACACACATACAGACACAGACAGAGAGCCCTATATGAACAGGGTGAAAAGCGTTTGTTGGGCGGTGTACCCGCTGCAGGCGAATTCGATCTATAGATGGCTGTGAGAGACTGCAGTTGAGGTTATAAGTGGCGGTGTGTCCGCTGTAAGTATAGGTTAGGGGGGCGGTGTGTCCGCTGTAGGTTTGTAACATTCGGCCGGGTTTGAATGGAAAAAAGATAGGGGAGGAAAGGAAAGAAGGGTACCCTTTCGCGTGCATCTGCGAAACACGTGGGCGTGTGTTGAGAGAAAGGAATGGGAGGAAGTGCAATCTCCGAGATTGGTGTTGAAAGGAGAGCCTGCCCGTAGTGATGGCCTGACATCGTCTGACTTCCTTCTGACTTCGTGTGTCGTCAGGGCGTCGTCGGGCCTGACTTCGTTCTGACATCGTG